CCTAAGTGGGCTAAAAAGAGGGTTGCGCCGGGGTATAGAGCCACGACGCAGGAGATGCAGGAAAGCTTTTGTTTTCTCTAGGGCCGCGGGGTCWAACTTCGAGCCTGGGGGCCGATAGGCAAATGCCAAGGCTTACCCGGTTYGATGGCCGACCAAGCCGCGGTCACGCGGCTAACCGGTATGGGTAGGCCATGGGCAGGAATGYCGGCAGGCCACAGGCAGGGMAGCCCTGCTAGGCCACAGYCGGGGCAGGCCTGCTAAGCCACATACAGGCRGAGCCTGCAAGGCCGCAGGCAGGGGAATCATCTGGGCTAGCTCTTCATATTGAAGAGYTGCTCCTRTTTAGTGTGAAACAGGAGCTAGCCCAGTAGGTTACGTCACCYGACTACCACCCWGYAGACACCAGGATCGAATMTGAGAAACTGTAACTACCAGGCTAGCTCCTTTTGGAGCAKCCCAGCCTTTTGGGCACGGCYGAKCTCGGYCGTYCGATCAAGAAAGRTCTCACGGCTGAGATTGGCCGCGCGGTGGTAGCATGGCCCCTGCGCAAGGATGACACGCATAAATCGATAAATGGTTCGATTTTTTTTTTCGATTCCCCGTAGGGAATCGAACTCAGGTCTGTATTTCAGCGGTTCATGGTGATCCACGAACACGCCATATAGCGTTGTATGAAGAAGATTGGCGACTTACAGTCCTCAAAGGATCCAGACGACACCCGTTGAAAACGGGCAGCCGTTTTGCCTATGGAGGTACTAAGTTKTTTTTTTTCTCTTCCTTTTTTTTAGATTCATTTTAGATTTTTTTTAGATTTCATTTGGATTTTTTTTCTTCTTTCTTTAGATTTTGCCCCCCCCCACCTGCCATCTGACTAGATGCCCGTTCGTTTCAACAAACGGGCTGTAGGACCTCTTACTGCGCCCGAACCTGGAGCCGATAGTGTCCAGATTCAGGCGCACGAAAGAGAAAAAAACATGCAACCGTTTTTTTTTTATTCGGTGAGTTGGTTTTTTTTCTTTTGTTTTTGTTTTTTTTTGTTTTTTGTTTTTCTTTTATTAGATTTAGTTTAGATTTTTTCTTTTTCTTTTTGTTTTTGTTTTTTTAAGACACCCGTTCGTTTTTGAACAAACGGGTAACTTGTGCTAGACTGTTTCGTCGGGGCTTCACCGACTCATCGGGAGGCTGCAGCCTCGACAGTCTACCACTATGCCTGAACCCAACGCTAATAGCGTCTAGGTACGGGCGCGCGCGCGCGCGCGAGAGAGAGAGAGAGAGAGAGAGAGAGAGAGAGAGAAAGAGAGCTACCTACCTACCTACCTACCTACCTACCTACCTATCTACCTACCTGCCTACCTAAGGTTGGCCCGTTGTCGTGAAAACCAACCTTAGGATGAGCAAAATCGAATGAATCTTCCACTAGAACATAGAAATATACAACCCACCTGTTGCAATTCCCCTCTCCTCAACAATCGAACAATCGAATTTACGATCTGCGTCCATTCATTTGAAGAAAACGGGCAGCAGACTTAACTCCAGGTAAGTCTTTTTGTTTTCTTTTTAGTTATCTTTTCTTTCTCTTTTTTTTCTTTCCCATTTATGGCCGTTGAAGAGCAGGCAGTGGGGGAAAACGAGAATAGAGGCTGAAACGAGGCAAACTGCCTCGTGGAGAACTGTAAAAAAAAAAAAAAAAAAAAAAAAAAGGGAACCAGAAGCAAACGAGGCAACTTACCTCGTTGGGGAGATGAACAGTCTTTTGAGACTGTATGGGAGCATGAATGCTCCCACTTTCATTCTGAGGAAACAGTTGAGGCCGCGAGATCTCAGATCTCGCGGCTCACAGCGTTCGCGCGTGAAGGAGTTGGGGAGTAAAGAAGTGAGAAAGAAACGGGTTGGTTGGGACGAGGAGGACTTACTCCTCCCAACCTGACAACTGTCCTCCCCATTTTCAGGGGAGGGCAGCAGAGAAAAAGTAAAGTTGTTGTTTGCAACATCATGCACGTGGCTGAAATAGAAGCCAGGTGCATTAAAAATTAAAAGGTTAGTTTTTTTTTCTTTTTTTTTTCTTCATTTTTGGTGAGGACACTTGTCCTCACGTGGTGCTACCTCTGGTAGAAGCTGCCAGAGGTAGCTGTCAGGCTCCCGTTTTTAGAGGGAGCCTGAAAATTGAAGGGCCATAAGGGAAAAAGGCTAAGTACAGCCTTTTCCCCGATGTATCTGCCCTGGAAAAAGGGTCCAGATACATCAMGCTGAAAAGGGTTGTATCTTTTTAACTCTTTATCAGAAAAATAAAAGAAAAACTRATTTGGAAATGGCAGGAGGCCAGCTATCTCGCCAGATTCCGAGATAGTTGGGAAAAAGAAAGAGAAAAATAAAATAGGGCGGTTAAAGAAACTGCCCCACACTAAGGCTGTGGCTGTGATGCGGCCACAGTCAGCCCTGGATCTTGTCAGATCAAGGGCTCACAGTGAGCCCGCGATTTTGCCTGGGGGCTGGAGTGACGTCCAGCCCTCCTTAGCCAATATAAAAAAGGCAGCTGCCTCCCAGCTGCCACACAATTGCACTCGTGCTGCTAGTGTGTGACGAGTACACTTGAGTGCTGGCTGCTGGAGCTGCTGACTGAGGCAACGTGAGGAGGAGTTGGAGGACTGCTGAGGCAACGTGAGGAGGAGCTGGACTGCAGAGGAGCACCAGGAGGAGGACTGGGCAGCCATAGCCAAGGCAGGGAGCACTCTGCTCCCCTCCCCTTTGGCTGGTGCTGGTCCCACGGGAGAGGCCCAGTGACACTGCGGTACTACGGCAGGCGGCACAGGCTTTTACTGCGGTAGTACGAGAGTGCTGCCCAAATTTTGTTGCGGCGGCATAGGCTTTTTCTGCGGTAGTACGAAAGTGTTGCCGAAATTTTGCTGCGGCGGCACAGGCTTTCACTGCCGTAGTACGAAAGTGCTGCCGAAATTTTGTTGTGGCGGCACAGGCCTTCACTGAGGTAGTACGAAAGTGCTCCCGAAATTTTGCTGCGGCGGCACAGACCCTCACTGCGGTGGTGCGGAAGCGCTGCCGGTTTTTTGTGTCGGCAGGCCTTGTTTTTCAGCGGTGGTGTGGAAGCGCTGCCGTTTTTTTTGCGGCAGCAGGCCTGGTTTTTCAGCAGTGGTGCGGAAGCGCTGCCGGTTTTTTGCGGCGGCAGGCCTGGTCTTTCAGTGGTGGTGCGGAAGCGCCACCGGGTTTTCTACGGCGGCGGTTCCGGGTTTTTCGGCAGTCGTACGGTAGCGCTGTCGGAATCTTTCGACCGTGACTCCGGTTTAACCAGCCGTGGTGTGGGAGCGCTGCGAAAATCTTACGGCGGCGACGCAGGGTGTCGCGACAAGTGATCGTTCTAAGGAGTGGTGTGGATTGTTTTGCGGGCGACTCATTGTGACGATCGTCTTCTCTAGAGTGTGATTTACACGGTCTTCCTGAGTGGGCCATTTCTTCGATTTCACTCAAGGTCAGTCAGTTAAATTGACTCAGTTCCCTTCACACCTAAGTGAACCCACACTTGCTTTGACCTGTTTCACTGAATGTTCATTGAAAAACGGAAGAGGATGTGTGTTCTTGAGTGTATGACTGGGAGTCTGACAATGGTAAAGGAATGCATGGTGGTCAATGTGTCGTTGGGTTTTGACTGCAGGTACGRCAAATAGACTAAAATGAATGAGAGTGATAACGGTGAAAGAATGGTTGACTTTTCATCTTTGTGTTTGTGTTCTATGTATAAATAAAAGAGAAAGAAGACGACGAGAAACGAAACGAGCATAAGGAAGAGAAATTCAACTTGGTTTAGATTTATTCATGAGGTTACCCATTCTTTCTCGAATAACCCTCTTCCATCTATGCCTGTCAGTCTGAATGATTCTATCTTTCTACGATACCTCTTTCTTCGTCTAAGTTTATTTTGACGCTAGGCGGCAAGACTCTATGTGTCTGCCTTGTAGGTGTTTTTCCATTTTTCTAGGAGGCATCTGAGGCGGGGGTTCGTTGCCTTAGGGGCCGGCCCTGTTATCGACTCAGAGTGGACCGCTTTGCGGGGGGGTACTATGCCGATTCGGTGGAGATGGCCCGACTTCTGAGATCCGAGTTTTGTACTCGGACGAGGAGAAGGAGTATCCCAGACCACCTCTTAGGGTAATGGAAAAGGCATCCACACGGAAGAAAATTTATTTCTTGACGCCTTGCGAAAAAGTAAAACTGCCTTAGCAATCYTGTTTAAGTGGTCATCCTAGGTACCACTAACGAATGGAGAGTTGGCGCCACAAGCAGYCCGACYCATGYCCTACTAGCTGAACGRAGYACAGTTAGATACTCCTGACGTGGTTTGTCGTGTCATAAGAAACACGRGYCGTAARGAAGACAAAAACCGAATAATACTAAAGGATAAAAGTTTAACTCAAAACACATTTGTCTTATTTTTTTTTCAGATGGCTATGGGAACCACGGAACTATTCCTTTTCAACAATCGTGATGCGGNGGATAAAAGTTTAACTCAAAACACATTTGTCTTATTTTTTTTTCAGATGGCTATGGGAACCACGGAACTATTCCTTTTCAACAATCGTGATGCGGCAACAGAGAGAGTTGAACTCCAAAGGCATGATGGAGTGAGGGTAGAAAGCGTAGGCCGACTTATTTATAATCCGTCAAAATTATATTATGAAGAGGACGTTTTGCGATTTTGGGGTGGTAGTGCGCAAAGACCCCCCAGACAACTTGTTTTCAGGAGTGATAACGACCTGGATATTCTTCATTACGAGTTCGCACCGCCATTGCCTGAGCGTCACTTCGTCAATATGAACCTGGTGGTGTTGCAGCCCTATGAGATCAACACACTAATGGACGAAATCCTTGAAATAAGGTTGATGTTCGTCCATTACGTGCTTTGGCTGAACGAGCGACAAGGCCCATTTTTTGGCATACACTACACGGAGCGGATACGTGCCAATAGGTACGCAATCATAGGGGCTGAAGCGTTATATGATGATGAATTGGAAAATGAAGCGGAAGAACTCGAGGAGTTTTTACGTGACTGATTTGGATTCGTTCTGATACGCAGATGCTTGGAGCGCGACGAGACTTGACGATCCCGAGGTATCTGCTGGTTCGTGATACACCCGACGAGGATCTCATCAGGAGTGCAGCACGACTTTTACGAGTACGAGATGGATCTCCTATCGACTGGTTCGGCTTCATTTGACTGCTTCGACGTGGCGAGGGATTTTTCCCTAATACTCGCGCGGATTTCAGAGCCAACAGGACTCGAACTTCCGATGAGTTGTACGGTTATACTTCGTATTTCCACCGCGCGAGTAACCTCCAATGTCTCTCTCGAGTCATTGTGAGTATCAAGATTACCTCGTCCGGTAGGCGTTTCGGCGTCGTCTGGATCCGGGACACAGAGACTCGACACCTGTTTGGACTTAGCCGACCTCTCCGAGTTATAGTTTGGAGGCCAGCCTCTCGGATGGCCTCCTTCTATAATACTCGGATTGTTCGAGTCATGCGATGTGGACGAAGGTCTACTTTGATTTTCGACGACGACGAGATGGCACGTTTGGATTTATTGGAGGCACAGGTGCGTGTCGAGCGAGAGATTTACCAGGATTAGACATCGTCTTCTGAAGTCTTACTCAAATTTCAGAAAACACTTCGCATGGACTCAGTCCCGTTGAGGAAACCATATAACTTATGGTTTCACGAGGTAATCTAAGAACAAAAACAAAACACTTTATGTAGTTAGGACCGCCGGATGGATAGTATTCGGATTACCCCGATGATTTCACTATCATGCTTATGCATTGAGGGG